TTTTTTTTTTTTTTTTTTTTTTTTTTTTTTTTTTTTTTTTTTTTTTTTTTTTTTTTTTTTTCGTAAAGCTGCCTTCTCCTCATTGGGGGACAGCCATATATTTTCTCTCACCTCACATATCTTTCTTTTTAACTGGCGTTCTGCGGTGTCATGGAACATATCTTTCTTTTCACTGCCTACCACTACTCCTAAGACTATACAGGGGACCCCTGCAAGCATAGCTTTCTACCTGTATTGTGTCTACGGTAGGGGAGTTGGAAAGCACTGGATGGATTGTGTGAGAATGACCCCCTTCATCTTGAGGATGATGATCTGTCAATCGACTGGATGACCGGACGAATGGATCAATCACTAGACGTGTAGATCAGTCGAGCAGTCGATCTGTAGATCAAGGGTACGGATTGGCCGCGGATCGTAAAGGGCCATTGATCAGGGACACTAGGGCCTCAAAATCGCAAAATCGCAAAATGAGCGGCCAGATTGAGTCCTTGTAGAAGAAGACTCAATCTGGCCGCTCATTTTGTGATTTTGCGATTTTGAGGCCCTTGTAGTGTGAGTATACTCGCAGTACCTGGAAGTCTCGCACGGATCCAGCGGCCTAACTCAGTTGGTTAAGGCCCGCAAGTGGCATTCAGGAGGTCGTGGGTTCAATCTTCCTTCCTGGGCATGCTTGGCGCCCGAGGAATCTTTTTAATAAGTTTTTATCAAGGTTTTTTTTTTTTTCTGCAAGTTTTTATTTTATTTTATGGCAAGCCTATCTTTGGTTCTTTTAAACCACAAAGTACTTGGCCCAGCTATCGTTGCCGAGCCTGGAATACCCCTGCGCGCCAATTTTTGCCGACGCGCCAGGGTACTGTTTCAAATTTTTTTGGCTGGCGCTTCCAGCCATTGAGGTCCGGTACCTCGAAGCCCAAACTTTGCGTAGCGTTAACGGCAACGGCCCGCGGCCGATGTATGGGCCAAGTACTGGTGGTTTAAAAGAGAATAGAACGACTGGCGGCTATGATCACCTATCTGAAATCGAACACGTAAGCGGGACCGCACAATTTGAGAGGACGACCACATAGGATTTCACAAGGTATCCCGGAAAGATGGGACATCTGGACACGTAAGCGGAGATTTATATTGCTAATCCCCGATAAGGCTATTACTATTTCCCAGGGTTGGAGGATTGGAACTTTGGCTAAATATCCTATCGGTAAGCCTGACAATTCCCTCGACTTCGACTCCCGGAAGTGTCGCACACACTGTTGAATATGTCGAGTACTTAACCGGGTTTACAGGGCAGCGCAACCAAACCCCAGCTCCGGCCAGCGTCGTTCTGGCATCGGCCAACCCTAACCTTATGGACATGATGGCGATAACCCACTGTCGGAGAATCTGCTGAACACCCCGCGACAACTAAGGCTTCTAAATGCCCGGCTTCCTCCATGCACCGGTCGTGCTCAACGCCCCCAAACCACCTGAACACTCCCCCTGACCCCCCTCCGGTAAGACTTATCACAACGGAGCCACCATCTTCGTTGCTACTATGCCCTATTTCAGTCCTACCGACTGACCCCCTCGCCTGCAGGACGCGTCACCTCCCTCCCACTACTAACCCCTCTCAAACAGGAGTGTATCACAACGACCAGTGCAAGAACAAAACACTAGAATACCGTTCTCAGGCTAGTAAAAACATCAGGAAAAACAAGATTCAACAAATTCACGAGACCATTGAAATTCTAAAAAGTTAGAGATCACTATTCAAGATCAGCGGCGAGGCTCTGTTTACGATCGTCAATATGAAAGGAACAAATCGAGACTTATTCAGAAATTTTGGAGATCATTCATGACCCCACTGTCTTGAATCAAGTTTGTAGATGATTCTTCATGAGTTCATTGAGACTCTAAAAAATTAGAAAACATTATTCGAGATCAGAGGCGAAACTCTGATTTACGATCATCAACATGATAGGATCAAATCGGGAGTTATTCGGAAAATTTTGAATTCATTCACGAGTCCGCAGTTCTTGAATCGAATTAGAATTGAAAAACCTAAAGCTACCTGTGGCCAGTGTGTGAAAGCATCTGTCCAACAAGTCTATGGAAACAGATGAATTTTTTTTTTTTTTTTTTTTTTTTTTTTTTTTTTT